TCACACAGGGGATTTAAATCCCCACCGCTTTCTCTCCTCTCTTACAACTGAGACTGAGCATGGGATGCCTGCAGGGAGGATTCCCACACACCTCCTGTGTGAACTCAGGGCTATGACAAGCCTGGGTTCACGCAGGAACAGTGTGGAAACCACATGCAATATGGACAGGAATCGCGTTCCTATTTAAATCGCATTCTATTTTTTGAGGTGCAATTTGTGTCACACCACAAAGTATCAGTAATTGGTACCAGCGAATAATTGGTGCATCCCTGCTTGAGATCATTCACAAGCTCCTCCCGTGTAGTTCTGGGCTAATCCCTCACTTTTCTCATGATCATCCTTACCCCATGAGGTGAAATCTTGCATGGAGCTCCAGACCAGGGGGCGATTGATGTGTTTTTTTGTATTTCTTCCATTTGGGAATAATCGCTCAAACAGTTGTCTCCTTCTCACCAAGTTTCTTGCTGATGTCTTGTAGCCCATTCCAGCCTTTTGCAGGTCTGCAATTTTGTCCCTGACATCCTTTGACAGCTCTTTGATCTTGCCCATGGTGGTGAGGTTTGAATGGAAGAAAGATTCTGTGAACAGGTGTCTTTTATACACATAGTGAGTTGTCAATAGAAGCACCTTCTTACATTGACAGGACTAATCTGTGTACCATATAGTCAGTCTGTAGGAGCCAGAATTATTGTTGGTTGGTAGGGGATCAAATACTTATATTACTCACTGAACTGCAACTCAATTTAAAACATTTGTATCATGTGTGTTTTTTCTGGATTTTTGGTTGATATTCTGTCTCTATCATTGAAACTATTCCTATGATAAAAATTATAGACCCTTCATTTCTTTGTGAGTGGGCAAACTTATCAAATCTGAAGAGGATCAAATAATTATTTTCCCCACTGTATTTACTCATATTATGTATTTGTTTTTATATGAATTAAGACAGCAGCTTACAGTGTTTTAATTTTACATTCATCTCTTCACCACTTGTCCAAAAGCTCATATTTCAACTCGTAGAGTGACTATATTGCTTGTATATCATACACTGTAGCTGAAAAGCTGATCCATACATTTGTATTCTCCCAACTTGACTACTGCAGTGCTCTACTCACTGGTGTACCTAAATCCACAATTAATTGACTTCAATATGTACAAAATTCTGCAGCCAGAATCCTGACTAGGTCTCGTACAAGTGACCATATTACCCCTATCCTAGAGTCCTTGCACGGGCTACCCGTCAGGTTCCACATAGACTGTAAGATCCTCTTGTTCACCTATAGGGTTTTTCATGGTTTGGCTCCCCATTATCTGTCTGAAATGTTATCAACTTACTCCCTTCCTCATAACCTCCGCTCCTCAAGTTCTGGTCTTCTGTGTGTTCCCCCTAATCATCTACACTCGATGGGAGACAGGGCCTTCTCCTGCTATGCTCCAAAACTTTGGAATTCACTTCCAAAGAACTTCAGAGTCATCATTTCTAAACTCATTAAATTCAAATCGAAAAACTTTTTTCTTTAGGCAAACTTTCATTAAATTTTCTCTTTTTTCCTTTATTTTATCCAGTGTATTTTTTGTGTTTTCTTTGTAAAGCGTTTTGAGGAGCTACCTTTTAAAGGCACTATATAAAATAAAGTTTGTTATTATTATTATTATAATAACTCCTGCAGAGAAATTGCAAAGCCTGAACAGTGCTTCTAGGATTGCGGCTTCTGGCTATAGTTTGGAGATTTGATACCAGTACTGCTGTAAGGTGGCCACTGATCCCAGTCATGTGATGTTGTTTAGTCATTACACTGAGCCTGCACCAGCACTAGCAATGTAATGTCTGCATACACAGAAATGGTTCTTCATGGTGCTTCAGAGGCCTCAGAAAGACACGGACTAACTTCACTACCATGGGCATTGAGAAATGCGCTTTATGGCAATCATATCTGTCACAGCTTCCAGGGAGGTATGTTACTTAATCTTTTACTAACATTTCAGTAGAATTACAAATGCAGAGCAGTTAAACAGCTACTAATCATTTGACATAATAAACCAAACCCAGTCACGTGTATTATTATATTCAATATAATGAGATCCATTCTAGCAAATCACACCTTGTAGCTGTATTTACTACACTTGTTAAAATGATGTTGCATTTTGATGCCGCTGGAAATGTAGAGCACATACTGTAATTAAATCGGTATTTAACAGTCAAATTAAAATAGGTATAACCCCCATTCCCTCCCACCCACACACACTTTTCTGGTCTAGATAATATAACATGAAGTATATGGTCACAGTTATTACCATAAACTTTAACAGGGCCCTTAGCATATAGTGTAAAAAGGATGGGTAACATTCACTTTGGATGCCTATAGATGCTTTATGAACTGTTAATATGATGGGAGAAGAGTGGAATGACCAGCACACCCTAAAATGTAAAATAATCCTTTGGCAGAGGTTTTGGCAGTAGAAATGGGTTAGGACATGGCTAATTGGCAGGAAATGAACTTCATGAAAGTGGATTCCCATAATATTTACTTCAGCTTTTCTCGACCTTTTAACCCTAGTGGAAGCCTTGAAGCAATTTGTAGGTTTCGGGGGACCCCTGATATAACCAATTCATCGAGGTTCAGTGGGAAAATGCCCCTTACATTGGTGGTAAAAAGACCTGCAGCAGTGATCAGAATGCCACCACTAAAGATAAATAGTGCCATGCCACTGGATGTGACAAGTGGTGTTGGTCCTGAAACTATGTCAGCATCATTAAAGGGGAGGTCAATCAACCACAGCTCAAGGAACTCACAGCAACTGCTGGAGGAACTCTAGAGTTCTACGGAACCCTGGTCCTTCAACATTGGGGATTTTCACCCCTTCCTGCCCAGGTCAATTTTCAGCTTTCACCACTGTCACACTTGGAATGACAGTTGTGCAGTCATGGAACACTGTACCCATATAAAATTTTGATTTTATTTTAATTTTGAAAATAAATAATTGTTCTTCATAAATTTATGCCAAAATATATTCTGGTACATTTCTTTGGTGAAAAAAACCCAAATCAGTGTATATTATTTAGTCTGTAGGCAAATTATAGAGTCCACAAACTATGCTATATACAGTATCTGAAAATCAATCAATCCAGATGTACTGACAGCCTATCTCATTTCTTGAGGCCCAATTATGTCAGGACAGTACAGATATTCCCCAAATGACCCTTTTTTGTAAAGTAGACAGTCCAAGGTATTTCGTTAGACGCATGATGAGTTTTTTGTAGTTGGATTTTTTTTTGTCATTTATTTTTTGGAAAATAACGAAAAAATCAAATTTTATTTTCTCTTTATTTTTAATATTTTTTTTCAAATGTTTCAATGCTTTTTCTTCTTTATTAAATTTTTTACCTTTTTTTATGATTTTTTCTGGTCACACACTGTGACCAGAGCAATACAATGTTACTAAAGTAACATTGTACCACTCTGGAGAAGTGATTAGGATTTGTTTTTTTACACAATATTATTGCTTATAGCAGTGCATTTCACTGCTATAAGCAAGCATTTTTACTGAATGAAATAGATTCATTCAGTAAGTATTGTTGTGATTAGCTGTGATTGGCCACAGCTAATCACATGGTACAGATGGGCTGTGATTGTACACCAGGAATAGCATGAATCAAAGTCATTAATTGTTTACAATTGTCATGTGATCTGCTGTGATTGGTCACAGCGATCACATGGTACCAGCAGCATGCCAGTACAGTGATTTGTCATCAGCCAGACACCAGCCTGTCACCAGTGACAGATTGCGCCTGCAGCACAGCCACACAACCATGTACGCGCTGCGTTCCAGGAGGATGTCATATGATGTCCACCCAGAACATTGAAAGTCCCGCCCAGCTGCCATTTATACTTGTTAAGAATGGCTGATCTAGACCCATCCACCATTTATACTTGATTGTTGCTCTACATGTGGGCAGGGTCTATCATCTCCATACGCCATGGGTACATTTGCCCGAGGGCACGTTCTCCAATGCCCCGAGACTAGGCGGCAACTGCTGTCATATGTACATTAAGGTAGTTGCCCGATTCAGAGTTGAGATTTCACAGCACAGAGTAATAAAGCAGAGTTGTGTGTTAGGTGGTGCCTCATCGCAGTATACACTGTGACTTCTATTTGTTGCATGTGGAATGGTGGACCAAACCATGCCACCTCCACCAGTCAGCCTACATTTTGTTACCTTACTCACTGGACATTTGGTTTGCCGGTGCAGCTGAGTACACACATACACATCTTTGTGGCAGCTAGTGGCACTATGTGGGATAGGAGGTATATGTGTAAAACAGAATATTCATGGCCACATATGTTGGAGAGGGCTTAACCATACACTGTTTGTGTTTATGTTTGGGAACTAGTCAGATTCAAAACAGTTTCTCTTGAGGGCAGAATTGACCAACTGGATGCTGGGCAACGCATGCAATTTTTTGTTGACAATGCTGACACTTTGAAAATGTGGCCCATGGTGATTTAAATTATGACTGTACTGTCATGTCAAGATCAGCGGCGGACTGACAACTCATGGGGCCCCCGAGCAATAGGGGATCATGGGGCCCCTGTGTCCTTGCCCAAACTCAAAAAAGCCTATGAAAAAGGTACCAGGGCATCTCATGGGGCCCCTACTGACCTGGGCCCTCGGGCAGTGCCTGAGTTTCCAAATGGTCAGTCCGCCCCTGGTCAAGATATGCAAATGGAACAAGTTTTTTAAAAATTTTTGTATCAGTTTTGTTAATTTTGTATCAATTATGTTATCAAGCATCACTAGAAGTTTAATGGCCAAGGACTTGAATCTTGAATAATAAAATTACATTAGTGTCTTCATTCATTCTTGTCGATTTTAATTCAGTATATCCTCCCACATTTTACTGTAGGATAGTAAAATACTGACCAGTGTAAATGCACGGCTTATATGGCTATAAAGATATGGATGATGTGATTTTCACAAAAAAAATATATTTTCTTAGGTTCTTGGGCAGACCGTTCTCCATTACATGAAGCTGCATTTCATGGAAGACTTCTTACTGTGAAAACATTGATAGCTCAGGTATGTACAGACAAACACAGTGCAATCTACAAAAACAAAAAAAGTTTAGGTTGAATAATACAAAAATGTGAACAGCTCAGTTATGCAATAACACAGAGAAAATAACTTGTGGTCCAAAGTCCTGTATTTTGTGGTTGAATAAAGGCAGTAATGCAATTATTAGAAACCAGTTAGAATCATCCAGATTTGTGTAAAGAAATATGAATATCAGTGGATATTATAAAGAAAATAAGATCATTATTAATGTAAAAGAGAATAAAGCCAAGCATAAATGAACTTTCAGGTATAGCCTCCAAAGAAGCATCTTTTTGCAAAGTAAGCTTTAAAAAGACTGGAAATAAGGAGCATATGCATAGAAGAACATATAACAAAGTTTGCTGGGCTTACAAAAGTTAATTATTAAAAGGGATTATGCAATGTAATATTAATAAAACTGCAAACAATTTATAATCTACCAGAATAGGCGTAGCTTTCGCAGCTCAGGCTTACCTAAACCACCATATATCAGAAATCTTATCCATTCAGCTCTAAACTGAATAACCATTCCCTTCTTAATAAAACTGAAATTATTATGGCAGCAGTTAAGCGGGCTGGATGATGCTCTTACTCCAATGGCTGACAAGATTCTGTTGACAAACTATTTAAAGAGAAATCCATGTGCTGTCTGCAAAAAAAGCTAAATGTTTATTGGTCAGAAATCCTGTCTGCTAAATGAATGACCACAATCTAGTGGGATGCATGTTGCTGTGACCAATTACCACCTTGGACAGCTGCTGTTGCAAAATAAAGAACAAGTGGTTATTAGCCCCCTTTCCCCAAATTCATTTTATTTATTTAACAACCTTCTATTCCAGTGTGTCATCCCATGTGGTCACTTCACTAGTCGCTACCATTCCATTTTATTATGTGTCATAGCAACTGTTATTCTCAGAAATGACAGCCAGTGAAAAACTAAAAAATTAAAGTCACATGTCTGAAAATTAAGTGGTTAAGGCAAACAAAATGTGATTTATAGTTAAGAAAAGTATGATGTGATGTATCAGCTTAAAAGCCTCTGATCTAATAACCACCACAAGATTCAACTTGTGCAATGACAGAGAAAGAAGGAGACATAATTCTCGATTCAGGCTTTGAGCTGCTCCTGAGGAAGCATGGGTCCTGTGGCCAGCCGGTGCTTGCTTGGCTAACCCTGCTACTACGTCAATGCCTAATAGCAGCTCTTCTCACCCAGGGTTTTGTGCAACCCTAAAGGTGGTTAGAGGTTCCTTAATCATTGAACAATTTCTGTCTCTCAATCAACACTGACTGGCATGATGTTGTAGGGGAGGCAGTCTTCTCACTGATAAGCATTGTAAGGTGGTCCTTCTCCCACTTACCACTAATGTAAGGGACCACTGCAATGGCCACTGATGTAAAAAGGTACTTTTAACTCACGACTAATGTAAAGGGGCAATTCTCTGCCCAACACCAATGTAAGAGGGAAATACAATTTTTAATTTTCTGGGCATTATTATTATTACTTTAATTTCATGATTATTACTCAGAATAATTTTGTCTTACAGTACAGAAATGTGTTACAATATGATCTGTACGTGTCAGTTACACCAAGTATACCACATTCTTTATTTTTATTATATTTATTTATTATCATTATACTTTCAGCTTGCCAATCATGCTAATCTACTGTGAAATGTAGATATAATCATTTTACAGGGGATCCCAGAGTCATAAAAAAAAATGTTAAGGTTTCCTTAAAAAAAGGTTGAAGTTGTCTGCTTAATAGTCTAATTACCTGAATTAAACAGAAGTCTAGAATTTCAGCTTATCTCTTTAGTTTACAGTTTACACTACTATCAAGCACAGGGAGAACAACTATTGCTATAACGTCTGGAACTCTGCTGCTAGATCTTTGGGTCTCATCCCCCGCAGCTGCAGAGTTGTGTACATCCGCTCTGTATCCTACTCCTCAACTTTTTATTGCCTATTCACAAAGTGCTTTGTATTATGTGAACCCATTCACAAAATGCAAAGCCGCCTGTTAAGGACAGCAGGGGGGGAGGGGGGGGGGGTTGGGCAGGACTGCCACTGTATGAGAAAGCATAATTTCCCCATCAGAGCTCCAGGAGTATAGCAAAAGCTATACTTCCAGTGCTCAGTAAAACTCTTAGTTGTAAATAAGAGAGTCCAAAGTAAGTGGCATACACCTCATTGGACTTATATAGTAAGAGAGCACATTTTATAAAGTGTCTGAATTCCTGGAGTTCATCTTTAACCCCTTGAAGATCGCCCTATAGCAGTTTTATATATAAATGTGATTTTGCACTTCTGCTTCATGGGGGTGTGCGCATGCCATCAGTGGATTGCTTCTGCTGTCAAGTAGTGCCACAGCAGAAGTCAATCTTCGAGTCTCGGCAGACTCAGAGATCGGCTTCTGCTGTGACAGCAGAACCTGCACCCACAGATCGTCAGGCAGGGAGGAACAATAGATCTCTGCCTATATTTACATAGCCAGAGCTCTGTTCTGATGGGGTGGGTGATCGATCATGAGAGCAGAGCTGGGGACACGATCCATCACTTCCCCTTGTACCAGCACCACCTAGTGTACACCCAGCACATAGCTAGGCACACACTTAACCAGTTCATCGCCCGAGATGTTAACCCCTTCCCAACCAGTGTCATTAGTACAGTGATCAGTGTATATTTTTAGCACTGATCACTGTATTAGAGTCACTTGATCCCACAGTGTCAGATAGTGTAAAAATGTTGACTGCAATATCGCAGTCCCACTATAAATAGCTTATCACTGCCATTACTAGTATAAAAAAAAATTAAATTCCAATATATGTCCTATAGTTTGTAGACGCTAAAGGTTTTACGCAAACTAATCAATATACGCTTATTGGGATTTTTTTTAACAAAAATATGTAGCAGAATACATTTTGGCCTAAATTTAAGAATAAATTTGATTTTTAAAAATTTTTTTTTTATTGGATATGTTTTATAGTAGAAAACATAAAATATTGGGTAGTTTTCAAAATGGTGGGTTTTTTTTTTTGTTTATAACGCAAAAATTTAAATCACAGAGGTGATCAAATACCACCAAAAGAAAGCTCTGTTTGTGGCAAAAAAAGGACACTTATTTCATTTGGGTACAGCATTGCATGACCGTGCAATTGTCAGTTAAAATAACATAGCGCCGTATTGAAAAAAATGGTTTGGTCAGGAAGGGGGGGTAAATCTTCTGCAGCTGATGTGGTTAAAGACCATGTTTTACAGTATTTTTTGCTGTTATTGTTCTGCAAACTGATAGTTTGTTGGTAACAGTCTACATATTTTCACTTTAGGGTTTTAATGTGAACATTTTGACCATAGACAGAGTTTCTCCTGTTCATGAAGCATGCCTTGGTGGTCATGTCTCTTGTGCCAAAGTATTACTGGAGAATGGAGCCCGAGTAAGTCTTTTTTTAATTACTATGCCATTTGTATTTTCTTTGTTGCTTTCAAAGAGGTTGCATGAACAAAGAATGAAATAATTTTTAGGCAGATTTCTAAGGGTTATTGTATAAGGTCATGTTGTAAGATGTTCTTGGAGCTTGCACCTTTAAAAACTAGCTGTGAAAGTAGGTAGGTGGTCTTTTTACTTTTTTTCCTTGGGGGCCCCCTCAAGATACCAACGGTCACAACTGGACACAGCTACGAGATCTTGGAAAGTGAATGCACTCAAGTCACCTCAGTTGCGATTGCAAACACTTCAGTTTTATTGGCATAACATCAGGTTATTATACTGTAGTCTTTGGGCAAACACACCCTCAGACCATCCAATCAAATACATGTACATTTTTTTACCTTAACTCAACAATTATTTGTATGAGGTTTGCATTTTCACTCTTCTGCTTTATCTATCATGCCATATAGACCATGGCTGTAATCTGACCCAACACCCAAGATCATGGCTGTAATCTGACCCAACGCCCAAGTTGTGGTTATAACTTTTCAGAAATGAGAGTAGACCTTATCTGCTTTTTTGTAAAGTTTGCAAAAACACTCATTTCTACATGAAGCTGGCATAGACGGTTTTGTTAGTGTATACATATCTCATATATGTATGTTAAACTAGCATCTTGTATTAGTGTATACAAAATGGATTCAGTTATATCCCATTTAATCCTTTCAAGCAGGACTGAGCAGTGACTCCCACCACATGTCTATGATCCATGTTTCTAGCGTGATTTGTTAAAGTAGTATTAAAAGAGGAAGTTCCGCTTTGAAGACTCATCACCCGCTCCTCATTAAGGATTGGCACCTCCCTGTAGTCTTCTGGGACACATAATGGGTCCTAGAAGACTACGGGGCCATTCAGGAAGCGCATCGCTACTCGCGCATGCGCAGTGGACACCCGGCTGTGAAGCCGCAAGCTGTCACAGCCGGCTGCCCACACTGAAGATGCCGGCGCCTAGAACACCAGATGGCTGTTGAAACGGGCTGCAAGGAGGACACCGCGGGATTGTGGAAGAAGGTGAGTGGCTGTTTTTTAAAAGTCAGCAGCTACAGTTTTTTTTTTTTCACAGTGTGACTGGAACTCCACTTTAAGCACAAAAGCCAACATTTATTATATTGCAGCTTACCAATTCCTAGATGGGATGGCTGGGTTAATTTTTTTTTTTTTTTTGGCTTTCTTTCTTCTATTTTCATCTAGTGATCCAGCCATTAAGTCTGTTGTTTTTCAGCAGAAAAGCTCTCTTGCTCTTGCAGGGTTGATGCAGACACTTTAACACTGGCAGAAGTGTTTACAATGATCAGCTTTTACTTATTTATGTAAAGACATTATTAAAAAAGGAAAAAAAAAAATATGTAACTGCTTATAAAGTATTAGCTGGAGTTCAGCTTCAATTTGTTAGTACATTTAAATCTGCTAGTACAGCTCACCCCCCCCCCCACCAGACAGACAATGCTGCTATCCAAATCTGTCCCCTGTGCTCATTCAGCCAGAGTGGTGTCTGTATAACTGTATAATACAAGAGGGGTGTTACTGGCCAGATCACCAGGTGAAAACGGAAGGCAAAAAGAAATCTGATGAAGCCACTACTTCTAAAGATTGGTAAGCTGCAATATATTACATTTATGGTTTTGAGTTTAATACCATCGTAAGTATGAAGGTGTAATACTAAAGGTCTTCAGAGGATGGCAGCAAATATACTGCACGAGAATGTACTGTGTGACTGCACAGCTCCAGTCACTTCTGGTCAGATTTAACCTCTTGCCGACCGCGCATAGCCGAATGATGGCTTCACCGCGGCCGGCCAGTTCTGAGTGGACGTCATATGACGTCCTCCCAGAACGCGCTCTCCTGCGCGCCCCAGGGGGCGCGCACCCGGCGATCTCCGTGATCTCCGTACGGACACAGCTGATCACGTGATGTGGTGAAAGGCCGATCCCACCGGCCTTTTACCACGTGATCAGCGGTGTCCAATGACACGCTGATCACAGGGAAATGCAAGTGCCGGTTCTCGGCTGCACTTTCCTCACGCTGTCAGATCGTGAGGAAAGTACTGCCGAGAACCGGCAGTTGTCAGAGCGGGGATCGGCACCGATCATCAGGGCACTGATGCTCAGTGCCCTGATGATCGGTGCCCAGCAGTGACACCCGCAAGTTCCGCCCAGCAGTGCGCCCACTAGCCCCACCCACCCGTTCCCAGCAGTGCCCCCACCTGTGCCCAGCAGTGCACCCCACCTGTGCCACTCTGCAGTGCCACCTACCTGTGCCCAGAAGTGCCACCTACATGTGCCCAGCAGTGCCACCCACCTGTGCCCACCCACCTGTGCCCACCAGTGCCACCCACCTGTGCCCACCAGTGCCACCCACCTGTGCCCACCCACCAGTGCTGCCCACCAGTGCCACCCACCAGTGCAGCCCAGCAGTGCTGCCAGTCAGTGCCACCAGTCAGTGCCCAGGGGTTGTGCCAGTCAGTGCCCAGAAGTGATGCCAGTCAGTGCCGTCTATCAGTACCCATCATCAGTGTCACCTATCAGTGCCGCCTATCAGTGCTGCATATCAGTGCCGCCTATCCGTGACCCCTAATTAGTGCTGTCTATCAGTACCGCCTATCCGTGCCACCTCATTAGTACTGCCTATCAGTGCCCTTTAGTGCCGCCTATCAGTGCCCATCAGTGCCGCCTCATCAACGCAAATCAGTGAAGGAGAGAAAAAATACCTGTTTGAAAAATTTTATAAAAGAAACAAATAAACTTTTTTTTTTTTTTCAAATTTTTTGCACTTTTTTTAATTTATAGCGCAAAAAGTAAAGTGCCCAGTGGCGATTAAATACCACCAAAAGAAAGCTCTATTTGTGAGAAAAAAATGATCAAAATTTCATATGGGTACAATGTTGCATGACCGCGCAATTGTCAATCAAAGTGCGGCAGCGCTGAAAGCTGAAAATTGGCCTGGTAAGGAAGGGGGTATAAGTGCCTGGTAGGCAAGTGGTTAAAGGATTAATTTGAGTAATTGGAGGTGGTGCAATGAAAATGATTGCTTATTTTTGGTGACACGGATGGATATAGTAAAATCCAGTCTGCTAGCCGCCTTTATTACCTGAAGTAACCTCTGTTCCAGAAATTATTAGAATAGCATTACTGGCATTGGCATATTTGTGACTGCTACAGAATGTACAGAATGTAATCCAAACATTTTTCAGTTCTCCACAGACAGACATAGATGCTTGTTATACAATAAACTATATATTGGTGCCTAGCATTAGTAGCGTTTGTACCATGAATGTAAACTCTAAACTTTCTATGTTTTTGTTCATATAAATAAAGAATTGGTTTCCACTGTATTATCAAAAAGTTCACATATTATTATGGTTCAGTTTGCAAACATGTGCCTACAATAGGGCAGAGGGTGAAATTGGTTCTGAGCCCAATCTATGACTACTTTAAGGGACCTATGAGGTCAAGGGCTCCACCTAGGCCTGATTCAAGAGCCCATGAGGTCAAGGGGTCCACCTAGACCTTATTTAAGAACCCATGAGATCAAGGAGTCCACCTAGGCCTGATTTTAAGGGCCCATGAGGTCAAGGGGTCCACTTAGGCCTGTTTCAAGAGTCCATGAGGTCAAGGGGTCCACCAAGGCCTGATTCAAGAGCCCATGGGGTCAAGGGGTCCACCTAGGCCTGATTTTAAGGGCCAATGTGGTCAAGGAGTCCACTTAGGCCGGATTCAAGAGTCCATGAGGTTAAGGGGTCCATCTAGGCCAGATTCAAAGACCCATGAGGTCAAGGGGTCCACCTAGATCTGATTCAAGGGCCCATAAGGCTAGGGGTTCCAAAGATGTCTCTTTGCCAGCTCCAGGTTCCTGTTCATACAGTGTGTCTCTTTCACTTGATTCTTTTTTTCCTATGGCATATTTTCTATTTGTTTAAAATGAAAGTCCACCTTTAGTTACGTTTTACAAAAATCCCCCATGCAGTTCTAGATCCCATAATTAGTACACACCAGCGGTCCTCATTTTCAAATGCTGCTCCTGCTTTCCTTACCTTATGCAGTCGTGAGGGGCCTCTCCACAGAAACTACTGGCCCTTTTATCCCACTCTGTCTTCCTGTTTGCAGGGTGAGCTCATCCCATTCAAACTATGCACATGCGCAGTGCACTGCCCTCTTCTCTAGCTGCAGTGGCTGAGCTTGACTGCTTCCCATACAGTAGATAATGATAGAGCACACTGTGTATGTGTGCAATTTGAACAGGCTGGAGCAGTTGCTAAGGGGCACACATTTTATAGTGTTCAGCCCATCCTGCAAACGTCAGTACAGAGGGGGATCAAGAGACCAGAAGTTTATGTGGAGAGGTTCCCATGGCCCCCATAGCTGCATAAGGAAAACAGGAGCAGCATTTTAAAATGAGGACAAATGGGATCTTGAAATGCCTTAGGGAATTATGTAAAATGTTACTAAAAGTGAACTTACCCTTTAAATTTAGCTTCAAGGCCCTTTAACATTTTGTTATACCTCTAATGTTATCTAGGGAGCATGTATACACTTGAAAGTGTCCTCTGGGGCTCACATTGTGGAAGAAGGCCTTAGAAGCATTCATTCGATAGGCTGATTTTCCCCTTGTCAGCAAAGATACATTATATAGCGCCGTCAATTTACGCAGCACTTTACATATATATTATACATTCCCATCAGTCCCTAACCCTCAAGGGGCGTACAATCAAAGGTCCCTAACTCACATTCATACATACATATACTAGGCCCATATTAGACAGGAGCCTATTCACCTACCAGCATGTCTTTGGAGTGTGGGAGGAAACCGGAGTACCCGAGGAAACCCATGCAGGCACAGGGAGAACATGCATACTCCAGGAAGGTGGTGCTGTGGCTGGGATTTGCATATATAAGTTTATGCCAACACCTCAAAAAAAAAAAAAAGTGTAAATAAAAAAAAAGGATGTTTGATACATTACATTTTCAGAACTGCCTGGGGTGTCCATAGTAACACATTATACTCCTCTGTTTCAAAGGCATACCATTAAATGAATAGGAGGAGCTAATTCGCTTATATAAGCATAAGGGCAAAAGTGTGGTACAGGTGCTTATGTTATTTATTATCATTGTCATGTCCCACCTTAGAAAGCAATAATAAGACAGAAAAAGATGGGAATTAACTAAGCTTCCTGTGCCATTATAATAGTCAGAAGTGGTGTGCGCCATGTTAACTGAAGAGAGAGAGCTGTTTCAGGTCTGTCGGAGACTCCTGTGCCAGAGTAAAATAGAAGCTAGTGCAGTCCTATCCCCTATAATAGAGGGAAAAAGGGCACTTTTGAATATAGAACACTGCTACAGATTCCTACCAGGTATCTTGTTGTAGGGAATGTGAGCTGTAAGCAGTCAGCTGACATCCTCCTCTCTGCTTGTGCAGTGATTACACTACACAAGCAGAGCATATAGGGTTAACAACCCTCCTCCTCTCTCCTGCTCTGAGCCTAGCAGGGGGACAGATAAATCAGAGCATGCTGTTCTAAGTCTTATGTTCTCTGTGCTGCCTGTCACAGACATGGCAGAGCAGAGGACTGATCACGTCTAATGAACAAAGGGGATTGAACCCTTGTTAATTAGAAGGAACATCCACTCCATTTTTATATTTAGAGGAGTGATGCAAGCATGGTGCTTGCATCACTCTTTGCAAATTCCTCCCATAGAGTTGTACATAAATCTGATTTTATATTATCTTCTGCCCAGGTCAATGTGGTGACAGTGGATGGAATCACTCCTCTGTATAACGCATGTAGGAGTGGGAGCGTTGCTTGTGTCAGTATGCTATTGGATTATGGGGCTAACCCAGAGCTGGAAACTCAGCTGGCTTCTCCTCTTCATGAAGCAGTCATAAGAGGTAACATGTTTAACTCTCATATATATGAATGAGCAAGGCAATGGCCATTTCTTTCACAAATGGAAAATTATTCACTGCTATTTAAAATACAATTTCAAATAAGATACATAAGCCAAGGTTTACCTAAAAGTGTCCAGTCTCTAGTTGAATGCTAAAGACCAAGAGTTGTGGTGTACATAGACCTGATGTTCTTCATCACTTTTTACCATTGTTGTATTAATGACCAGATGCAGCAGTTTTACAAAGATGTTGGAAAATGTTAGGCTTACAACCCTCAGTAAAGCAGATGAAATATTAGTATGGCTTAGTATCTTTCTTGCTTTCAGGTCCATCGTGCCCCTGTATGAACCCTTGGGTTCCTACAGAGCAGCCTCTCTCAACCCATTCAGGTCTACTGTTACCAGCATTTCTTTTATAGCCCTAATTTCTATTTGTTTATTTACATTATGAATGCTAAAAGCTATTTAGTTGTATAGAGCAGCCCTGGGTGTCAAGTATACTAAGCATGCCAAATTCCTTATTATTTCTTTAATTTATACATTTAATCTTACTGTTAACACCAATATACCAAGATCTGCAGATACAGTAATTATTTTTAGAGGTGTCCTGAGACCTGAAAGTAATTCAAGGGTTCCTCTATGTAGGAAGCTACAATTGTTAGCTGAGTAGCAGCCTGGGAGTAATAGTTAGCAGGGGGTCAAAATTGGGTCAGGGCAGAGAGGCTCTACAGACCAACCCGTTTGGAATTTCCTCCTGCACTAGAGCTTTGGAGAAAGGTCTAGAAGCAGTGGGCGAATCTGAAGAGTTGCTGATTTGTACTCTTATTGAGGATCCTGGCCAATCCCCAACAGGAGGCTTGGCAAGGGGCCAGGACAACTTTTAAGAGTAGATGAACCTGCTCAGCAGCAGGAGAGTTTGGGTAAAAGAGAGAGGAGGATGTGAGAGGCAGGGAGCCTGTGAGGGGGCTCAGATGGAGAGAGACTCACCTGCAGGCAAATAACTTTGGAAGGCTGAAAACATAGAGCTTCACCAGCCTAATGAGAGAGGACCACCTGTGTGGCAGGGAATGAGTGGCCCAGCTAGAAGGCCTGGTAGCAGCCACCGACCCACTGGCAGCACAAGAGAGGGACCAAGTGAGTAAACCTTCACCTCCAGGGCCAGTAATGGGAAAGGAGCACGTGGGGAAGTGGATGTGCAATCTTACGCAGGACTGTTTCACACTGAAGTGGCAGGCACTGGATCCCCTGCCTATGGATTCACCCAGAACAACTGGATGAGGAGAGGAGTCACCTGGGTTCTGGGTGGTACAATAGGAGATGCTGGCTAGCTCTCCAAAAGAAAGAGGATTTTTGCTGTAAAGACTTGTACATAGTTGCTAAGGAGTTTTTCCTTTGTTACCATTCCTTTGGGCATCCTATACAACCCTTACCCCATCCAAGTTCTAAATCCCCTAATAAAAATTCAAAACAAAGCTCAAGGACTGGTTACTGTCTCCTGATGCCAGTCTGAGTGAAGGAAGTGCGTGTTGCCTGGCTGTACAGGACCCAAATCTATTGCAACTCCTAAGGGGGTAGCGCTACATCTATGTTAAGAAGGATTAGAGACGCTGCTGTAGACACAGTTGCAAGCTACCACAAAACAATATCCCCACGCCATAGGGTGTTAGTTACCTGAATAAACATAGAATAGTATATAACTATACACAACCTATGACCTAATAAATACAAGAAGTAAGACATATTTGATTTCTTGGGATAACAAAGCTGTGTAGGAGTTAGGAAATCAATAATAAATGGTTCTGTAAATTCTAATTAAGTGTACTACATGCAGCAATTTTGCAACTTTTACTATGCTATGTCTATTTTACTGTTCCCGTTCTGGAGCAAAAATACAATGGGGGTTATTTACTAATCCTGCAGCGTGCAAAATCTGATGCAAATCTGCATAGAAACCAATGAGCGTCCAGATTTTATTGTCAAAGCTTATTTGAACAAGCTGAAGTTAGAAGCTGATTGGCTACCATGCACAGCGGCACAAGATTCTGAGTGAACCAGTTTTAGTAAATCTCCCCCAGTAGGTCTAATAAAAATGGGTAGATTTGTCACCACTTATTGATTTCAGTGAGTAAACTGGCCATATACAGTATGGACAGACTTCTTACAAGACTAATGAGAATCAAAATATTTGCCTTGTATCTTTCTTAGCTCTATCTTACCTTCTATCTCAAGCAATCACACACATAGTATCACTTTCATCCAACTAGGTGGTATTTTGACCCTTACCTGTATAGAAGAGTTTGGAGTGTTTCCTGTTTGCTTATATATATTTTACAGTGGGTTGGAAAATCTCTGTGTGATAATGAGCAGCTCTGATAAGTTGGAGCCCCTAAACCTGAGGGAGATTACAGATGTCCTAATTATCAGTGATAATTATAAGTGATGCTCAAATTACAACTACTGCGTAAAATAAAATGTCTGCCTACGTCTACCCTAAGATCCATCTTCCTCCTACTAGAGATATTGTTAGAGGAAGGTGGAAGCTAGCAGAAGGTCAGGACAGACTGAAATGTCTTATACAATACAGTATATAAGAATGTCTTCTCTAGAAGCATTTAGTCATTGGTAGGTGCTAGTGGAAGGAGATGATCTTGGTTGATAAAGTCCTGGTCATGACATAATGGTTAATGTTAGTAGCTTTAATTTTGGGTATAAATATTATTTTGTTAAGTAACTTATTTCATATTTTCTGCTTATTATTTCTTATGTCTCCAGGTTACCGGGAATGTGCAGAAATGTTAATCTCATATGGAGCAGACATTGATAAAGAACTTCAGAAATTGGTACTCCGCTGTACTTAGCCTGTGCCACCAGAAAGCTGACTGTGTTAGAAAGCTTCTTGAACTGGGTAATGCTATGATTATTTAGGAGTATAACTGTGAGCAAGTGAGATCACTGCCCTATATACAGTATATAAGGTCTGTACAGTTGGGCAACAGTCACAGTGATGATCATTGCACATAGTCCAGGGCTAACAAAAATGCAACACATGAATTTTATTATTTTCCCTTTACCCAATGCTGATAGTGCACTGTGTGTTATTATATATGTGTGCATGCACACGGCGGGGGTGTTTGTCCCTGAAGTTGATGTGCTGTAAGCAGAAAAATGGGCATCACAGTTTGTTGTGTAAGGGGCAGTGTAGATTTAGACTGATCAGGGTGTCCATGCTGACCTGTGTCCACAGCAAGTAGAGCCTACGATGGGCAAATGAGCATCAGAACTGGACCACAGAGCAATGAAAGAAGGTGGCCTGGTCTAATGGATCACATATTCTTTTACATCATGTGGATGGCCAGGTGCATGTACATCACCTACCTTGGGATGGGATAACACCAGGATGCACTATGGGAAGAAGGTAAGCTGGCAGAGGCAGTGTGTGATGCATTGGTAATGTTCTGTTGGGATACCTTGGTCCTGCTGTTCATGATTACTTTGACACGTACCACCTACCTAAACATTATTGCTGACAAAGTACACCCCTTCATGGAAGCGGTATTCCCTGATGACAGTGGCCTCTTTCAGCATGGTAATGTCCCCTGCCACACGGCAAAAATTATATAATAATGGTTTGAGGAACACCACAATGAGTTAAATGCATTGTCTTGGCCTTCAGATTCTTCAGATCTCAATCCAATTGAGCATCCATGGGGTGTGCTGGAAAAACAAGTCCAATCCATGAAAGCCTTACCTCACAACTTACAGGACTCAATGGATCTGCTACTGACCAAACACGACAACATATATTCAGAGGTTTAGTGGCGTCCATGCCACACCCGGTTAGGGCAACAAAAGGGGGACCTACTCAATATTAGGTACACTATCATAATGTTGTGGCTGATCAATGTGTATAAATTGTGTGTGTATATACAGTTAGGTCTATATATATTTGGACACAAGTACAATTTTAGTTTTTTTCAGGTATTTACCAAAACGTATTCAAGCTATAGTTGTATAATGGTTATGGGCTGAAAGTGCACACTCTCAGGTTTAATTTGAGGGTATGTACATTCAAATTGAAGGAAGGGTTTAGTAATTACAGCTCTTAAAAGTAGCGAACCCCCTTTTTCAAGGGGCCAAAGGTAATGAGACAATTGAATATAATCATAAATAAAATGTTCATTTTTAATATTTTGTTGAAAATCCTTTGCTGGCAATCACTGCCTGAGGTCTGGAACCCATGGACATTACCAAAGACTGGGTTTCCTCCTATCTGATGCTTTGCCAGGCTGTAACTGCAACTGTCTTCAGTTGATCTTTGTTTGTGGCTCTTTCTGCCTTTAGTTTTGCCTTCAGCAAGTGAAACGCATGCTCAATTGGGTTGAGATCAGGTGACTTTACCATTGCAGAATATTCCACTTCCTTTCCTTCAAAAGCTCCTGGATTGCTTTTGCAATGTGTTTTGGGTCATTGTCCATCCGTACTGTGAAGTGCCGTCCAATCAACTTTGCTGCATATGGCTGAGTCTATTCTTCAGGTATGAATGGTTTGCACTGTGTGGTGAACCCTCTGTATTTGCTCTCATGAAGTCTTCTCTTGATTGTAGACTTTGACAATGATATGCCCACCTCCTGGAGAGTGTCCTTCACTCGTCTGAATGTTGTGAATGGGTTTTTCTTTACCATAGAGAGGATCCTGCGATCATCCACCACTGTTGTCTTCTATGGACTTCCCATGCCTTTTTATGTTGCTGAGCTCACCAGTGCATTCTTCTTTCATCAGAATGTACCAAACTGTTGATTTGGCCAATCCTAATGTTGCTGCTATCTCTCTGATGGATTTGATTCATTTTTGAAGCCTTACAATGGCCTGTTTCACTTGCATGGACAGCTCCTTTGAACACATGATGTGGGTTGACAGCAATAAGTTCCAAATGCAAATACCACGCTTAGAATCAACTCCAAACCTTTTACCTGCTTAATTGATGAATAAATAATGGAGTACCTCACACCTGGCCATGAAACAGCTTTTGATTCAATTCTTAAGAGCTGTAATTCCTAACCCCTTCCACCAGTTTGGATGTACATACCCTCAAATTAAACCTGACAGTGTGTACTTTCTGCCCATTATATAACTATAGCCTGAATATGCTTTGGTAAATACCCAAAAAACACAAAGTGTGTGCGTGCGTGCCTGCGTGCGTGTGTTATATACACATTTTTCCTTGCATGTGATCAGGTAATTGAGGCAAACACAACTTCACCTTCTTTACTAATCTAATTGAACATTCACTTTGCAAAGTGAACATACACTTTCAGAAGTGAACAGTCTCAATTTCTTTAGTAAATCAATCCTATTTGGTGAAGATAGTGAATATCATTATTATAAAGATTTGGCCATATGGTCAGCTCATCCTATACTTGATGTGTGCCTGGCAGCCTCATTATCAAAGGTATAGCCAAGCAGACACAGATGTATTAATTAGACCTGTTTGATTTATTTTCTAGGTGCAGACGTGAACCACGGGAAACTTTTAGACACACCTCTCCATGCTGCTGCTCGCAAAACAAGTGAAGAGATTGTCAAGTTGCTTATTGATTATGGGGCCAATGTGAAGAGTAAAAACATGGAAGGAAAATACCCCATAGAACTGACAGCACCCAGGAGTGCTGTAGAAAGAACGTTGCTCATCGCAGAAGGTATTCATAATAAAATAGTACCAGACTCTTTAAATATTTGGATTAAGTGCAGAAGGGTAAGAACCTCTGCCAGAGTTTTGCTGCTGCCTGTGCCTTTGTTGGGGGGGAGTTCTTGTGACTTCCTCTCTCAATGACACCCTGGCATTTCCTGACACTTTGGGTGACTGTGAAATAGGAAATAAAGGAAAATAATGGAGACCCAGCAATAGAAAGTGTTGATTCACTGCTGGGGAGATTTTACCTTGCTTCTTGTTTTAGTGTCACCCCATGTTTTGGAGTGTCATGTTATCCATGAAACAGGAAAAGATAGGACATTACCAACATTGACATGGACATCAATAGAGACACCTTTGTTTAGAGTAAGGTTGACTACATGAAAAGGAAAACTATTCCCTACCTTCTAAAGTGATATTATTGTTGATCTTCATTTCTAGGTCCAGCTTCCTTGGCTCAACTGTGTCGGCTCAGCATTCGAAAGTTGTTGGGTTCTTCCTGTGTACAAGTGGTGCCCAGGCTTCAGTTACCCAACAGACTAATACAATTTCTACTATATCGATAGAACTTCAAACTGGCATTACCCCATTTTTCTAATCCCAGGAGCCATAGCTGATAATGCTTTTGTTATTTTATTATTTTTGAAAATGAGTTGTCTAATTTGGAGATGACTGACTTAACATTATGATCACATCAACTAAAACACCATTTTAAATGATATTCCATTTTAACTAAAAGCAAAACTGCACTTTATATTTCATTTACTGTTTCCAACAGCATGGCCTGAAGCCTCCTACAGCTCTATTTCCATCAATTCCAGGTTGCTCATTCAAATCAGTGTATTATACATTTCCTGTCTGTCCACAGTGCCCTCTAGTGACATGGAGAAACATTGCTCACAACAAAGTACAATATAAACAAAGCCCTGGGAGGCTGCAGGCTGTGTTGAATGAAAGAGACCTATTTAACCACTTGCCCTCCTGATGATTCCCCCCCCCCCCTTCCTGACTAGACCATTATTTGCATTATGGGGCTGCGTTGCTTTATCTGACAATTGCGCGGTCATGCAACGCTGCACCCAAATAAAATTTATGTCCTTTTTTCCCACAAATTGTGCTTTCTTTTGGTGGTATTTGATCGCCTGTGCTTTTTTTAATTTTTTGCGCTATAAAAAAAAGACTGCCAATTTAAAAAAAAAATCAATATTTTTGACATTTTGCTATTAAACATGTCCAGTAAAACAATTTAAAAACTCAAATTTTGTCATAAATCTACACCAAAATGTATTCTGCTACATATCATTGCTAAAATAAAATCCCAATATGTGTAAATTAACTGGTTTACGTGAAAGTTATAAAGTTTACAAATGGTGGTATATATACTGGATTTTTTTTTTCACAAGTAATGTGGCGATCAGTGACTTATAGCAGGACCGAGGCAGACATTCTGACACTGGGAGGAACTAACTTGGTGTAATTGACATCCCCAGTGACACCAAGACAGTGATCAGTGCTAAAAAAAAAAGCACTGACACTGTACTAATGGCACTGAGCAGGAAGGGGTTAACATGAGGGGTGATCAAAGGGTTAACTGTGTGAAGGGATTGTTTTACTAGGGGGCGGTGCCTGTGTCCTTCACTTTAATCATGCTGCTCTGATGCATCCAGAGCAGTGTTTCAGAGCTGACTATTTTGTTTAATAACAGTCCTCCTCCCCGTCGGAGATCTTCGGAAATCACCAGGCGCCGGCAAGTAATTACTGGCTGGGACCTGGTGATTGACAGCTGTGAATGGCGGCGTGGGTAGGGCATGTGCCCCCTACTGGGAAATGAAAAATCACGTATATATATATATATATATATATATATATATATATATATATATATATATATATATATGTGTGTGTGTGTGTGTGTGTTTTTGCGCACCCATGCCACCCTGTAGCAGTGTTCTGCTATACAGCGGCCGGAAAGCAGTTAAAGGTAAGCTAAACAAAATCAAAATAATCTCCTGCACTACCTAGTGAGTTTACAAAGCGAGAGAGTGAAGACTAATAGTAGTGAAATGGAGCTGCTGCTAGCATTAAATTGTGTTCCCACAACAAAAGATAAACATAAATAAAACCATGCTGCGCTGCAAATACAGTGAAGGAAATAAGTATTTGATCCCCTGCTGATTTTGAATGTTTGTCCACTCACAAAGAAATGATCAGTCTAAAAATCGAATGGTAGGTGTATTGTAACACTGAGAGACAGAATAACAACAAAAATTAAAAAGAAATGCATGTCTAACAAATTATGCACTGATTTGCATGTTCATGAGGGAAATAAGTATTTGATCCCCTATCATTCAGCAGGATTTCTGGCTACCAGGTGTCTTTCATACAGGTAACAAGCTGAGATTAGAAGCATTCTCTTAAAGGGAGTACTGCTAATCTCATTTTGTTACCTGAATAAAAGACACCTGTCCACAGGAGCAATCAAAAAATCAGATTCCAAACTCTCCACCATTGCAAAGACCAAAGAGCTGTCCAAGGATGTCAGAGAGAAGATTGTAGACCTACACAATGCTGGACTGGGCTACCAAACTATCGCCAAGCAGCTTGGTGAGAAGGTGACAACAGTTGTTGCAATCATTCGCAAATGGAAGAAACACAAAACAACTGTCAGTCTCCCTAGGTCTGGTGCACCATGCAAGATCTCACTTCGTGGAGTGTCAATGATCATGAGAACAGTGAGGAATCATCCCAGAACTACATGTGAGGATCTTGTCAATGATCTCCAGGCAGCTGGGATCACAGTCACCAAGAAATCAATTGGTAACACACTATACTGACAAGGATTGAAATCGTGCAGTGCCCGCAAGGTCCCTCTGCTCAAGAAAGCACATGTCCAGGCCCGTCTGAAGTTTGCCATTGAACATCTGAATGATGCAGAGGAGGACTGGTTGAAATTGGTGTGGTCAAATGAGACCAAAATCGAGCTCTTTGGCATCAACTCAACTCGTCGTGTTTGGAGGAGGAGGAATGCTGCCTATGACCCCAAGAACACCATCCCAACTGTCAAACATGGTGGTGGAAACATTCTGCTTTGGAGGTGTTTTTCTGCTAAGGGGACAGGACAACTGCACCGCATCAAAGGACAGATAGACGGGGCAATGTACCTTCAAATCTTGGGTGAGAACCTTCTTCCCTCAGCCAGGGCATTGAAAATGGGTCGTGGATGGGTGTTCCAGCATGACAATGACTCAAAAACACGGCCAGGACAACAAAGGAGTGGCTCAAGAAGAAACACAGTAAGGTCCTGGAGTGGCCTAGCCAGTCTCCAGACCTTAATCCGATTGAATATCTGTGGAGGGAGCTGAAAGTTCGAGTTGCCAAACGTCAGCCACCAAACCTTAATGACTTGGAGAGGATCTGCCAAGAGGAGTGGGCCAAAATCCCTCCTGAGATGTGTGCAAACCTGGTGGACAACTACAAGAAACCTCTGACCTCTGTGATTGCCAACAAGGGATTTGCCACCAAGTACTAAATCATGTTTTGTGAAGGGGATCAAATACTTATTTCCCTCATGAACATGCAAATCAGTGCGTAATTTGTTAGACATGCATTTTGTTTGAATTTTTTGTTGCTATTCTGTCTCTCAGTGTTACAATACACCTACCATTCAATTTTTAGACTGATCATTTCTTTGTGAGTGGGCAAACATTCAAAATCAGAAGAGGATCAAATACTTATTTCCTTCACTGTAGGTCTTGAAAGGATAGCAGGCTACTGTGTTCACAGATAATGTTGAGTAATGGAAATGGGATTGCTGTTTTTTTTTTAATGGAATTGAATCACATTTAGTACTACTAGAATATTTTAATGTACAAAAATAAAAGTCTTTAGAATTTTAATATATTTTTATGTGTATTGTTTGCTTTAATGGCCCACTCTCTTCTTTTTATATTTTTATTTGTATTAAGGAAAAACATAAGGACAATACAACCAAAAGCAAACAAGTCCATATGCTGGGAAATACAAGTATAGAACAAGAATCAAGTCAGTAGGGTAACACTGCTAGAGTCAGTAGAATAAAATGTACCCTGGTACACATGAGCTTTGGAGTTAGAACAAGATCGCTGATACAATGCAGGGGTCAAAAAGTTCTCACTCTCTTAAAAAAAATTTTTTAATTGAAAAAAAAAAACAAACGCACTATTATACAAGCACATATGGGGTATCCTAAGCACAAAGTCATCATTGAACTGAAACTTGTAAATGCATATTTGTTTTCTGCAGATCATCTGTAAATGAAAAAATTTAATAATAAAAAATATTTTTTAATACTGACTTTTTATTGTGAAGAGACTAATAAAAGCTTTTGGAGCCTGAAATGTATTGTATTTGTCACAAGAATAGTGTCAGGTCAGTCACAGTTGCAATCAATCAATTATTCAGCCTCTAGTGTCTAATCTAAAAATTTAGAAAAGTTTATTTGCCTAAGCAATACCCTAAAAATTACCTTTTTGTCTTGAATTCCATCTGAAAAACAGCAGTGCACTTGCTGGTATGCAATAGAGCCTAGGCACATCTTTGTCTACAGCTACACAGATGTTCATCTGTAAGCTCTAAAGCACTGCTGCCTCTGACTGGTAATCTCAGAAGATCTGAAATGAGATTTGGTGATGTCCAATCTGGTGATGATTGCTGTTCTTGCTGGAAACTTTACATTGCAGAAGCAAAGTCCTTCCTCTATCGAGACGGTCACCTATACAGAGACACAGTGCAGAACAAGGCATGGTAGGACAGTAATTGGGTAAAGATCACCTGGAAGACTACAGACAATGGTAACTAGTCTTTTGCCCTCTGCCTGTTTTTGTTTTCTTTGATCACAGCTACTAGAGTTCAGGTCTTCTTTAATCACTTGTCTTCTACTGGTGCAATTTTTTTTTGGAAATTTCAAAATCCATTGTTTTTGGAAATTTCTTTAACAACAACCCATAAACTTATATTTTTTTGAAAGAAGAAACCCTAAAGAATAAAGTTGCATTTTTATGTCTAATATTTGCATAGCTATTGATCAAATGTACATTCTCAGGAAAAACTACACTAAAATGAATTTTATTGCAAACAAACACAATATGATAAACAACGCTTTCAGGTTCATTAGTCGCAGTGGTATCAGACAATGGGCAATGAATGTCCCCTGACCAGGTCCTGCTCTCACTGCAGGTGCTATTTACCAAGGTCCTGGACTCTCCTATTCTTCTGCGGAGGTACCGCCAACATCACTTTTATGTGAAAAACATATTCTGGGTCTAAGAATCCACACGCTCTTGAATACTAGGCTGTTTATGTTACAGGATTATCTGAGTGTGAGGTATGACAAAGATACAGCAGCAGTAGCTTGTATTGGAGGAGAGCACAAAACGTGTTGCTCGCTTGCATTCCAAGTTTAACCTCTTCCATACCGGGCACTTTTACCCCCTTCCTGCCCAGGCCAATTTTCAGGTTTCAGCGCTCTCACATTTTGAATGACAATTGCGCGGTCATACAACATTGTAGCCAAACTAAAATGTTATTA